GGACAGTGTAGGATGCGGGTTATTTTCCCTGTGATTCTGTGGCTGACTGGGAGCTGTGGCTCTCTGCTGCTGCCCAGCATCTCCAAATAGTATTGTGCCTACTGGGTATGGCTAGCCTAGGAAAAGATTAAACTCCAGAGTAAAGTTTCTATTGAATGTGTATTGCTTTCATTAAACACCCACACACCAACACAAACACACACACAAATTGAACCATCAATAAGTTGGGGGCAGTACTGAACAATAGAACTTTGAGTAGTAATGGGAAAATTCTAGACCTACTGTCCAAAATGATAACCACTAGGCACATATGGCTGTTGAGTACATGAAAGGTGGAGAGTAAGAGTGAGGAACTGAAGTTTTACTTTTATTCACATTTAATTCAGTTAAATAGCCACATGTAACTGGTAGCTACCATACCAGGAGTGTGACTCTCGAAGTCCCTGTAGGGTCAGGCCAAGCTGAGAAATCACATTCTCTTTCAGCTTCTCCCCTGCCTTGCCTGCCCCTTCCTTCCAGGATTTTTCTGGAAGCACCTGCTTACTAATTCACCTCCATCCCATCCTGTCCTGTCACCACTTCTACCTCTGGGCAACCAGACCTACGCACAGCCTTTCCTGGAAGTCTTAACACTGGTCTGAAGTTTCTCTGCTGAACCTGGTAACAGGACAGAGAAACTGAGAAAAAAGTGACTCCCGAGGAGCAATTATCTCTTCCTGTAGCTAAGACTTTAGAGAAATTTGTTTTTATTTTTATCTACTTATTTTCCTTTTGACCATGGAGTTGGCATCGTTATTTGGATTCAGCAGTCACCTCTTGAACCTTTGTTACTTTACACCAAAGGTAAAAATATCTACCCAGATCATGTCCATGACTCTTAACACCTCCAAAAGCTCCTAATGCTCCCAGTGGTTCAGATTTCAAAGAATGCAAAAGGATGTAATAGGGAAAAGTCTTTCTCTCTATTCCCTATGCTCCTGTCGACTTCCTGTGGAACCAGAGCACAGGTATGCAAGACACTACCCAGAGCTGTAAGCTAAGTGACCTGGGGCAAATTTCTTAACTCTTCTGAGCCCCAGATTCCAAATCTATAAGACCAGCACACTAACACAGGCTTGTGAATGCATACAGGAATTGTTGGAGGAAACTTGTGTCAAGGGCTAGATACTCAGCCAGCAACTGCTCCGTCTCTCCAAAGCCGTGCCTGGTGCTGTAACTGGCCACACAGCACCGCATGAAGCAGGAGCTCTGCACGTGTGTCCCCCCCCTCTTGCTGGAAACCTACATCCTCTCCTCCTGTTCCTCTGGTAAGTTCTCACTCAGATTTCCATTCAAACATTACTTCCACTGTGAGAACTCCTCAGCCCCTCTCCAGGCAGACAGGCATTTTCTGTTGTCTTTGCTCCAGAAAGTTCCCTGCACATCACTACACTTTTGTCCAGATTGGCATGGCATGGCAACAATGGATTCACAAGGTTGACCTTTCCCACCTCTTTATCCCTTGGCTCAGTTATAACTCTTGGCACATAGTAGACAAATTGTAAATTTTGGGGAATGAGTGAAGGAATAAAAAAAGGAGTCACCACTGGTCAGARATTCTAAGGGGAAAGCTGTATTCTAGAGTTAATTTTGTTTTCCTGTTGCCTAAGTTACCTGGGAACTCTACCTTACTTTGACCCTTGTTCCTGAAAATTATTTCAAAAGGCCTGAGTCAAATTTCCCTTCTTAGTAACTGAAATACAGTGACTGTGGTCTAATCTTTCTTTGGTTTTTAGTCATGAGACTGTCTCAGAATCTGAATATTAGTAAGCCATGAATGAAAAGTGCAGATATAAATTGCAAAAAATGATAGAGACTAGGCTGAATTTAATTGGGCCCCAAGGCATAGCTTAAATCTTTGTGTGAACATTTTAAAATATTTAGATTCTGACAATTGAAGTCTTATTAATATACTATATTATGTTTTACTAGCTATCTACCAAAGATTTTGAAGCTTGGAAGTCTCAAAAATTAAATCCTTTTTTATTTTTTAAGTGAACTAGTCCTGGCTCCCTGAAAACCTCCTCCATTGGGGCCAATAATTTCCACCTTCAAGTCACATTTGCTGGTGTCTATTATCAATTGTAACTGGAATTAGGAAGGATTTGAAAGAATTACAATTCTGCTCACAGTTGTATTTTGATCTTGTGTTGAACAAGTTCTCCTACTAGGTCTCATTCTCTTCCCAGCCCCTGAGCATGGACTACAACTTGTTTGGCATCTCTACCTTTCTAGGAGAGGAGAACCTATCTTGTTTCTGTTTACCTGTTGCTCAGCACAGAGGCCCCCAAATCTAAGTGCACTGCGCTGTTCTGTTGGACCAAACTCGGTGACCAAATTCTTGGCAAGGTTTGTCCCACACTTTTCAATAATTCATCGAGCAGAAACTTGAGGGCCAATGTTTTCAGGCACAATATCAGGAAGGCCACAAATATTATGTTACCATGCTCTACTTCTAGGTAAAGTGACAGTGGCATCGAGGGAATGAAAACAGGCCATTGTTATAAAGTGCATACAGAAAGAACCAGCAGTGAAAGCCAGGATGGCAGCTGTCAGCTACGTGAAGTAAAACTCAGGTTTGACTCACTTGATTTCAGGTTGTAGTCCTTTGAAGAAGGAGATTAGAATATGGCACACTAAGACCATATTTCATGTCTTGGCCACTGTGAATAAGGCTGCAGTAAACTTGAGAGTATAGATATCTTTTTGAAATCCTAATTTTAATTTCTTTGGATAAATACCCAGAAGTGGGATTGCCAGGTGATCACATTTTTAACATTCTGAGGAAACTTCATGCTATTGGCTATACCATTTTACATTCCACCATTAGTGTGCAGGAGCTCCATTCTTTCCACACTTTTGCCAACACTGGTTACCTTTCAATTTTTTGATAAGAGTCATGCTAACAGTTGGGAGGTGATACATCATTGTGCTTTTGATTTGCATTTCCCTAATGATTAGTAAGGTTGAATATTTTGCATGTTGGTCAATTTGTATGTCTTTGGAGGAAATGTCTATTCAGGTCCTTTGCTGATTTTATAATCTAGTTTTGTTATTTTTATTGTTATTGAGAGGTAGGGCACCCTTGCATATGTTGGATATTAATCTTTTTCAGGTATGTGGTGTGCAAATCTTTTCTTCCATTCTGCTTTTGTTTTGTTGATTGTAAATAGCTATTATAAATAACAAATTCCTTTGCTATTCAGATGATTTTTAGCTTGTTATAATTTCATTGGTCTATTTCTGTTTTATGGTCTATGCTTTTTGTGTCACATTCAAGAAAGTATTGTCAAGGTCAATGTCAAGAAGCTTTTCTTCTAGGAGTTTCATGGTTTCCAGTCTTATGCTTATGCTTAAGCCCTTAATCTATATTGAGTTGATTTTTGTGTGTGGTTTAAGGTATGGGTCCAATTTCATTCTTCTGTATGTAGATGTCCAGTTTTTCTGGCATCATTTATTGAAAAGAATATCCTTGCCTCACTGTGTCTTCTTGTCATCCTTGTCAAAGATCAATTGACCATAAATGTGTGGATACATATCTAGGTTCTCTATTTTGTTCTGTTGTTCTATATATTTTTTATGCCAGTACTATGCATTTTTTAAAGAGAAAGAGAGAGAGAGAGAGAGAGAGAGAGAGAGAGAGAGAGAGAGAGAATTTTTTAATATTTATTTTTTAGTTTTCGGTGGTCACAACATTTTTATTTTATTTGTATGTAGTGCTGAGGATTGAATGCCAGGCAATCGAGTTACCGCTTGAGCCACATCTCCAGCCCAAGTACCATGCATTTTTCATTGTTGTAGCTTTGCAATGTAATTTGAAATCAGGAAGGGTGATTATTCCAAATGTCCGTCAATAAGGAAAATATGGTATTTATATATAATTGAAAATTATTTGACCTTAAAAAGAAGGATATCCTGACCTTTGTGACAATATGAATGAACTTGAAGATAGTATCCTAAATGAAATAAGTCAGACACAGAAGGAAAAATACTAAATGATCCCATTTATAAAAGTAATCAGAAACAATCAAACATTTTTGAAGAAGAGGAGAGTAGAATGGTGGTTGCCAGGGYGAAGTGGGAAATAGGAGTGTCAGTCAAAGGGCACAAAGCTTCAGTCATGCCAGATAAGCATGTTCTAAAGATCTATCATATAGCACAGCATGTTTAATAACAATATGGTATTATAAATTTAAAATTTTGCTAAGAGGGTGGATTGTATATGTTCCTATCACATAAAAATAAGAAAAGTAGGAGGTGAAGATGTGTTTTTGATATTAATTGGATATACAATATGGTATTGATTGTGCTGAGGGCTTCCTGGGTATATAATTATCTCTAAACTCATACAATTGTATAGATTAAATTATACAGCTTTTTGCACATAAATCATGCCTCAGTAAGGTTKTTTTTTAATGCTATATTTCACATGAGTTATAATGTACACTTAGGATCTTAAGAAAAAGAGTGCCCAACAGCCACACTCCCACAGAAAGCCTCACAGAACCAAGAAAGAACTTGTTATGGAATCTCCTGTGTTGACCAAACCTTGAAAAGCACAGTGGGACATTCCATGTGACATTCTTTTTGCCACTAAGTGAAGACCCTTGCGTGATGACTCCACTTGGACTTCAAGACTGCAAACACATGTGTCTAGTTCATTTCCAAGGCAATGGGACAGAAACCCAGGAAAGCAGCCAAACTGGGACCATCTCACCAGATGTCACTGTTCCTTGATGATGGATGGGATGGATATTTTGTTCTTTGTCTCTGCATTGCCTGATGTTTCATGATAAGTGATAATTAGTCTGTCTAGTTAAAAATGTGTGGCTCTGATTCTGAGGAGCTCCCAGCTCCTGCTGCTACAGTGAACAATAATATGACATGCAGAAATCATTGCAATTGATTAAAATGTTATCAAGCTGCAACCCCGGCATACCCAAACACAAGATCACGGTTACCTGGTGGCAAGAAGAGGGTATGAGTGAACTGGGCTGAACCATGCTTCCTTCCTCCGAGGCATGCTGTCATAGATTAAAAGGTCTTTCTCYGTCAGAACAACCAGGGCTGGTTTCCACGGTTTCTCACTCTCCCCTGGCACCTGAAACAGAAAGAAGAGAACTGTCAAACAACAGCTTGAGAACAGGGTGATTGGAAAGAGAAGCTGGCATCCYTCCAGTCAGAGGACCCAACAATAGGAGTGTCTTTCAGTTCAGGCTATACAATCAAGATGGAAAAAACCCCAAAAAACAAAAAACCTAGTCATGAGCCCAGTGGTTCCTGATCCTTGAAAATTTCATGGTCTCATGGGCCATGGCACGCACATTCARTACAGCCAAGAAGCAGCCCAGCTGCTACACATCTGTCACTGTCTCTCACCTGCCAGTTAGCACTGAATCTTTTTTTTTCATTGTGGGAGGCAAATGCTTAAGGGAATCAGTGCTTCCAGCTTATTCTCTGGTACAGTGCATCTGTTTTGTTAATGAAAGTTTTTGAACAAATATTCAAGCCTTGAAAAATATACTATGGAGGCAAACATCTACCCAGACAGGTGTCAGACATCATAGCCTCCTCTCCTGGTCTTTTGCTATTATTGTTTCTATGATGCAGGCACCATCCTGAAACTTCTCTTGTTCTGTTGAACACTCATTGCAGAAAATTATTTTAATTCAAGGGCCCAGATGGCCTAGCAGGGATTGAAAAGGATTCAAGCATCAGTTGGGTGATTGGGACTATGGACATCCCATCCAGTCCTCAGAATCTGTGTAGCTCAGATCTTTTCTCATAAGCCATCCCCTCTTAGTCCCYTGTCAATCCTCTCAGACTCCCCAAATATTCTTCCATGTCTGAAAATGTTTTCCTTCCAGTTTGAACTCTGAACCCCCAGATGAATCTTTAAGATTGGTCTGGAAAAACTCAGTGCTCTAATCTTGCTATTCAAAATATGGTCCATGCACCCAAGCATCAGCATTTCCTGGCCCTGCTAGGAATGCAGAGTCTCAGGCCCATACCAACCCATTGAATCAGAACCTCCACATTCACAGGATACTCAGCTAATTCCTGGGCTCATTAAAGATTAGGAAGCACTGCTCCAGATGAGGTCAAGATTGTCTTTGACACAAGTAACTAATTCAACGAACACAATCATCTCATGAAAGTCATGATGCAAAATCTATTTGAATTAAGCTAGACAACAAGCTAAATACATAATATAGCTGATTTCTTCTTATTCTATTCGTATCATTACCATGTTTAAGTGCCACAGTGAAGTCTGTGTTGAGGTGGAAATGTGTGTACATGTTTTATGCCAGCAATCGTGGCCAGTATATTAGGAATGAGCGATCTAAACAGGGAAGAGCAGGGTAGGGGGAAGGCTAACTTTTCTACATTTTACATGTATGCTGTCTGAGTCTGATGCCAGTCTGTTTTGTGGCCTGTATGACTCTGGACAAGTTATCCTTCTGTGTGCTTCCACTTCTTCACAGAGAAACACAACAGAGGTTACGAGAGCTGGCTCTGGAGTTAGAAAACCTGAACATAATTCCTGTTTCACAGTTTCCTAGCTGCAGGGTCCTGGAAAAGCCAGCCAATTCTTTTGAATCTGTAAAATGGGAAATGTCAGTGCCCATAGTAGAAGGCTATTGTGAAGGTTAAATGAGTTAAAATTTGTCAGAGTCTTAGGGCAGTGCCAACCAGGCACCTCGTRGTACCTGCCAAGGAATGCTTGCTTACCTCATAACCCTACAGTGAAGATTAAAAGAGAGAGTGTGTGCAATGTGCTTAGAAGCTGTCAGATGGTAAGCCCTYAGTAAGACTTAGGGTGGGGATATTATGCAGACTCCAATTTTTAAAAATGGTCAAAAAAGGTGTCCTTTGGAAACGGTATCCATATGAGAAGGAAATGACTTTCTCAAATATATATATCTTGGGGTGCTGACCATTTTACTATCTTCTCTCCTCCTTTCCAAACTTCTCCCAGGAAGAATTCATTGCACAATGATCATCTTTATTTTTTAATTCTCATGTTCCTAGAATTCCCAATAAAGCTCCCTTTCTAATGGAGAACATGACATTGCCTCCTTTGCTGCCTATAAAGCTACTTACACTAGAATGTGAATGAATGCCTGGCTTATTCCCTGCTTTATGCATTTTATGCATACTAAAAAATTTATCTTTAGCTTATTGCTTATGTAAGAAGACGTTTCCCCCAATAGAACAAGAACATCTTCAAGAGATCAAAATGGATTGTTTGAGAAGRCAATGTAGCAGACCTTACAAGGTGAATAACTATGGTCTAAAGGCATGGAGTGTTTGAGGGGGGTTTGAAACAAATTTTCCAGTTTCTACATTAAACTTAGTAAATTACTTTTCCAGCTCATTAAATAGGACTGGAGAAGTTACAAATGATCCTCCCAAAGTGACTATCTTACTTACCTAGTCAGATCTGATCCATTAACTTTGAACAGGATCACACATTTAAATGTGAGCAGGACAAAGCATAATTCTTMAAAAATAATACTAAGTTTGCAAAATAAAAGTCAACAGTAAAATGAAAAGTAAAATGCAGACCTCTCTGATGGTGGTATCACAACCTTACCTGCATAATTCCAAAGCCCTAAAAAGTTTTGTAGTTTATTAAAGAGCCCTGTGTGGATATGTGAAAGTCTGCCGTGAGAATACTCAGAGTGGCCATTTCCCACCATTTCTGTGTGCAGAGCTGTCACTTTAATGCTRTGTCAATGATTGAGGGTAGCAGGCTACCCAGGAGAACAATTGACTTTGCAAGGGGAAAAAAAAAATTCATAGTGCAGAACAGGGTTTTGAAAACTTTTTTTCATACCTTGGGCTATATAACCTTGTATTTAGGTCTTTGAAGCACAATTTTCATCATGCTGAAGCATTTGTGTCCTTGTTTTAGTGATAACTTCCATTCCAAATCCAGTTTTTCTGGCACCTAAGATATTTCAGTGTTGACACAACAGTCCTAGGGGTGTGTATGAATTTATTAAAACAAGAGAACTGAAACAGATGCAAAGCCTTCCCTTCCCATCCCAGCCTCCCACTTTGGGTGCTATAGATGTCTCAAGACTAGATCATATTTCTAATGAAGAAGGCAAAGGAAGGAAAACAGGGGAAGTCATTCAGTTCTGGTATTATTCTGAAGCACAACTTTGGTGAGCTGAATCCTGAATGTGTTAGTCAGCTTTTCATTGCTGTGACCAAAATACTTGATAACAACTTAGAGGAAGAAAGACTGATTTGGTTCGCAATTTCAGAGGTTTCAGCCTGTGGTCAGCTAGCACCGCTGCTTTGGGAATGGTGTGAGGCAGAACATCGAGGTGGAAGGGCCTGGTCAAGGAAAGATGCTCAGYTTATTATATCTAGGAAGCAGAGAGAAAGGGCCAGGGACAAGATATAGTTCCCAATGGTGTGCCCCCAGTCACCTACTTCCCCCAATCAGGACCCACTTGCCTAAAACTTCTACCTCTCCTAGTAGTTCACTCAAATTATAAATGCATCAAATGGATTAATGCACTGATGAAGTCACCATCCTCGTGATCCAATCGTTTCCRTCCCACCTCTGGACATTGCTGGGTCAAGTCTTCAACACATGATCTTTCGGAGGACATTCCAGATTCAAACCATAAAACTGTGCCCACGTTCACTTCTGCATATTATGAGAGTAAAGATTTACACAGTGGCACAAAGAATGTAAGACAAGGCAGTAAGAAGTTACTGGTAAGAATTGTGGAAAGTGGATACTTTGAGCCTTCCACTGAGACAGCTCTCATGAGTTACTTTCCTCAGTAGTTTTCAGTCTCTTTAAATTGAATCAATCCTCTCTTCAGAGCAAATCACAAGTCATAGGACATTATGTAAAAGCACAGAGCATTGGCATGGAATTGCATCCTGGTTGGGGCCATGACACCTCTGGTGACCTTATGTCTTTATATTACCATCACCCATTTGAGTGGGGTTACTTGAAATCCTTGGAATTTAGTTGGAAAAACACTTATCTTGTCTTGTCTAAAATACTTAGGATATGTGTCTTACTTCCAAAGAGATGGTTTTACCTAGACTTGTCAGTGCCTTTTTTGTATCAAAGAAAAGAACAATATTACCAACTCCAAGGGAGACAAATTAGTACACACAGAGGGCTCATAGAGTGCTATAACACAGTAAATAAGCAGGACTTAAAACGTATGATCTACAAGTAGTGTTTCCTTAAGTATAGCCAGTTAACGTCAAGGAAAGATCTGAGTGAATTTAAGCAAGGATCACTTGCCTTTGCTGAGTTTAGATTTCCTCATCTGCCAAATGAAGGGATGGGATTAAACTGACTTCAAAATACCCAAAAGACCTAAAAACAGCATACYACAGGGACACAGCCACATCAATGTTTATAGCAGCACAATTCACAATAGCTAGACTGTGGAACCAACCTAGATGTCCTTCAGTGGATGAATGGATTTTAAAAAATGTGGCATATATACACAATGGAATTATACTCAGCAATAAAAGAGAATAAAATCATGGCATYTGCAGGGAAATGGATGGCATTAGAGAAGATTATGCTAAGTGAAGTTAGCCAATCCCAAAAAAACAAATACTGAATATTTTCTCTGATATAAGAGGGATGACTCAAAGTGGGGTAGGGAGGGAGAGCATGGGAGGAAGATTACCTCTAGAYAGGGAATAGGGGTGGGAGGGAAAGGGAGGGAGAAGGGGAATAGCAAGRATGGTGGAAGRAGATGGTCATCATTATATAAAATACATATATGAAGATGTGAATTTGGTGTCAACATATTTTATATACAAACAGAGATATGATAAATTGTGGTATAAAGGTATATTAAGAATTGTAATGCAAAAAAAAAATAAGAGAGCTCACGTATAATGGCATGATTTGGTGTGAACATACTTTACATAYAGAGTTACGAAAAATTGTACTATGAGTGAATAATTATGAATGTAATGCATTCCACTATTTTCATGTATGTAAGACATAAATAAATAATTTGGGGTTAAAAAAAAATTCAATTATTTTTAAGTTTGACATTTTCTGCTGTAAGGTTTGGACTGCTATAGTTAGTTAACACT